ATTTGCTTCGGGTTGCGACCAATTCGGGCTGCGACCAGAGTCACGGAACGAATTAAGTTCATAACCCGAGGTACCACTGTATATGATTTACCCATAATTATCCCTCATTATCCCTTTCACTCCCTTCTCTTCTGTTGTGGTACCCATTGTTTATAGATTATAAATTCTGGGTATATTGGTACCATGGATACTGATAGTACCATATTCAATACATAAACAATTAACAACAGAGCAAACAACTAAAAACAAAGTAATAGCATAATGTTGTACCCTGGCAGAAAGGGGGAAATCACAACAGAAAGACTTCTAGATGCCACAGTTTTGATCTGGACACTTGGTGTCCAGATCCTTTAGGATCCAACTCAGCCAGCACAGCCTTGATCAGGAATGATAGGTGTTCAAATCACCAGGATAACGTTAAGTTGGCAATTCCTTTTGAACACCTCTTTTTTGAATAAAGATCCCCAAAAGTCATAAGCATTCCAGTGTAGAAAATACGTTCTTAGCAAATATCCCTTAAAAAACTAATTTACACATGAATCTGGGAAAGAGAGATGTATTCATTAGAGATGATTAAAGATGCACAGGCATCTCATATTGATGACATCACTGGCCAGTGAATTGTGATTTCTTTTAATGTCATCCTATTTGGGTATGTATGTTTGTATGCATGAAGAAAGTATTTGCTAGATATTCTATTCCATAAACCAAAATAATTCAGATGTTGGGTACTGCATACCTTGATTTACGGAGGGGGTGTTTTTGGTACTCCACCTCAGCCAGCACAATGTCTTGGGTGAGTCTGCACACAAAACAGTTAATTCATACTAACTCACCAACGACCCTGGGGGAACATGCTGAGAGCTCCAGTTCAGGCCATCTGGAAGGCCCCAGATAAAATAAGGCCAAGATGCCTCCTTTAAGACTCTAGCCTAGGATTCTCAGTGCTCACAATGGGCGCCTGTCCTGTCACACCCCTCAGTGGTCTGGTCTCCCTCCTATATCGGCATACATACTATTCTCTTTCCCTTGAGGCGCGCCTCCACCGCCATCCCAGCAACTGACGGCCACGAGGACTCGGCCGCCCTTATATCCTGCCCAGCGGAGCAACGCTCTCTGTCTGACTGCACCTCCAACGCCCAGCGCCGCCAACGCGCGTCTTGCCCACCTGCCCCGCGGCAGAACCCTGGCTGACCCGCGTCCTCCTCAGCAGCGGCTCTGAAGGAACCCAGTCTCGCTCTGCTACCTCACAGAATTACCTGCCCGGGAGAGAGGGGAGCGGGGCCGACCCGCGGCCCCGAAGGGTCACACCTGCTCTAACGGCCCGGGTAAGTCCAGCTTTCTCCTCAGGCGACTCAATCTCTCTTTCCCTCTCCCTCATCCAGGCCCAGCCTGAGTTCAGCATCGGCGCGTAAGCGCGGGGGTTGTCCCACTCACTGAAGGAGCTTGGGAAATGTAGTCTTCTACTTTTGTGCGACGTTTAAAGGTTAAGATTGCACGAGAAAAATTTCAAGCGCATATAAGGAAAAAATGTTTCTCTCCTCAAATGTACGTCTTGAAAAGATGGGAAATTCATCTATTTATCGCTGTTTACCTGCAATAATTGAATGAAGATTATCTTTAACCACCAATGAAATTGTTGAGCAGTGGAAAAATTAGCCTAGAACAGTGTTGGACACTCCTCCTTCCCTTGATGTTTTAAAGGAGGGGGAGGTGATAGCCATCTGAGTTGTCTAAGATGTTTTAGTAGATTCCTGTGTAGGGTTTGGACTAGATTACTTGTAAGATCCCTTCCCGTTTATACACTATGATTCTATATATTTGTAGTTCAGGCATTTAATATGGATTAGTCACACAAAATTAGACGTGGCTCTGTTGTACAAATATGATGGTTAAGAATTGGTGAAAGAGAAGCTGGATTTTTTTAACACAGTTTAATTTTGTTCTAAGTAAGAATAGAAACATGGATGTTATTTTGTCTTTATTGACAAAATCTGTAATAATATTATTATGCATATGTTGTTGAACATAGGTCCGGACCTTAAACTTTGGCAGCTTTGCATTAATTTTAGTATCCTCTGGGCTGGATGTTACCAACTAGTTTTTTTTTTAATTGTTGTTTGTTGCTTTTTCACTATTGCATTAGGCTGTTTTTACTATGTAAACTACTTTGAGAGGGTTATACTTTTAAGGTAGCTGAAAAATAAGCCACCTTTACATTTCTTTGTCTGATAAATAGGATAGTAGTAGCTAATAACAGTGTTCCAACAATTTGAGACTTGGAATTTATGTAGCCTATTGAAATGATCATAGGCCAGCAACTATGTCTTGTGGCCTGATGCACATCTTCCGCCTCCAAAGCTGGCAGCTAAAGTATAAAGCTTCCCCTCTGATGCCTTTAAAGAGAACAGTGTGTTTTGCAGCACCAGCCTTATGCTTTTCATCAGGGAAAAGGGGAGCTAATAATTCACATTTTCAAAGTAATCTCGAAAAACAGTTGCCATGGGTTTCTAATATAGACTAGCTCCGCCCCGCTCACGGGGATGTTCTTTTTTCTTTTCTGCAGAACTGATCACAAATACCTTACCTATCACAGCGCTTCTGCAGACCGCAAAAAAGAAAAAAAGAAAGGACGTAATCGTGAGCGGGGCGGAGCTAGACATAGCGAACGACGTTGTCAAGCCTCCTCACAGCGCGGCGCCGCGTTGTCATAGTTACGAATCCTCCCGCCGCATTTAGCTATGACGACATTTTCAATGGCCGGATGTGCCTTGCTTCCGGGGGTGAGGCTGTGAAGACCTTTTAGGTTCGGTCTTACAACAAGAGAGTGAAATTTGTGTTGGTGAGGAGAGAAGAGGATTTTGTAGTGGTGGTGATGGTGTTTGCTGACAGCACTTTCTAGCAGGTGCAAGGGAGTCTTTATGTCGCCCATTGGTAAAGCGTGAAATGGGATGAGCAGGCGATGCTGGAAATGGAGGCTTTCGTTGGGGATAATATGGGAATATAGAGGGCAATTCTAAGTATCAATAATATTCTCTCATGTATGACCTTGTTTTAATCTCTAGAACAACCCTGAAAGGTAGATTAGGCTTTTTAATTAAGACAAAAAGGGCTAGTAAAGGGAACTATAAGAGAGGCATAAAACTACGTATCATGGATACCTATCGTGGCTTTCTCCCTCTGCCGCAGTACGAGAATTCGGAGTCATCAGTTAAGTTAAATTCGAGGAGATCCAGATAAATAACTTCACACTGTCTGTAATTAAACTAAAAAAAAAACTGCCGTAAGCTATAGTGATGGCCATCAGTTTGGGCGGTATTAAAAGGGAATAGATACAAGATTTGTGGGAAAGGAGGCTGTCGATGGTTAAATGCTGGTCCAGCATCTTTATTCTGAGGGCGGGCAGGGGATTTTTAGATAGGTATTCTTTTATATGGTATTTGTGGACGTCCCACTGGCTGCTAGAAATAGGCTTTGGTCTAGTTCTACCTTTGTAGGATAAACAAGGTTGCTGGGAACAGGTATATTTATCTTGTAAAGGGGAGAAGTATTAATGTATTGCAAAGTTAAGTATGTCTTCTAGCATATTAAAACCAAAGTTATTGCACATTTTTTGGTGAGCCTATTTTATAATAAAATATATGGTGAACCTAGGAATTTTGCTGTTTTGAATGAGTGGGATATTTTGTGCAATAATTTTATATAAAAGTATTTTAAAATTGTTTTGGCTTTGCTACCCACTGCTGGGGTTCTAGAAATATTTTATGCAAATCATAATGTCTTTTATGTGGGGGTTTTCACTTTTTTTCTACAGGAATGAGTTGCAGCTATTTTCTAACATGGAAGAGGAAAATAGAGTATATTGGGAGATATTGACATGGGTTAATTCTACTCCAGTTACCATAGTAAATAGGACAGGTTTTATTCTGTCCCTTCCCATGTGCACTTATTACAATTTCCCAATAGACTGAAATTTGAAATACTAACAGCTGAATAAGCTTTAATGGTTACATTACTGTATTCAAACTGACTGAAGAAACCAACCTTCCACTGATGTTCTGAGTAGCAGGAAGACTCTTCCTGAAGAGTTTGCTTAGGAGAATGGTATCACAGGTTTGGCAGGACTATTGGATTTTATTAGAGGCTAGAATCATATGCTGCATGAAGCTATAATGTAGTTTATTTGGTTTTGCATTGGCATGTTTTGTGAACCCTGCCTATTGTGGTTTATTAAATAAACTGGTTAAAAACTGCTGTAGCATAGCATGTATAAAACTGGCCATAGATAACAAAGTAAAATCGTATTTTGTAAATCACTCCACAGTCCTGTGGTTATGAATTGTAACAGTGATAAACAAGCTGTATCTCTATAGCTCATATGAACGATTCATCAATGACAGAAGCAATGAGTTTCTGAAAAACAGGCTAAACACCTACTGACTCATGTAGTACTTAAGGTGTTAATTATATGTGATAATTTAGAATGGAATCTGCTGGGAGAAGATTTGATACCTCTTGCTTGGTTCCCTGCAGTCTTTCCCAATAATTTATCACATTCACTACTTTTGTAATGCCAGGTGCTGAGATCAAGTTCCTTTTTCTGTACAGATCCAGTTGCATGGCCTTAGAGCCAGTAATTACACAGAGAATGGGTCCAGAGAGGATCTGTCCAAATGAGCATGAAGAGTTGGGGCTTCAAGAACCATCTGATGGAATTCTTGATCCTGTTGGGGAATGGAGTAGTGAAGAACCAGAAGAGGAGGAGGAGGAAGGTATCAATAATGGCTACGTGTACCAGCCACTGAACCAAGAACCGGATCAGGGACCAGCAACACATGAATTAACAGTACCTAGCATGGAACCAGCCTTTGACATCAATGAGCGACTTCAGGTGGCAATTTTGTTCCAAAGACATTGTGTGGGAAGTGATGCTACCAGGAGAAAATTAATACATGTGTTTTTACCTTTTGCTTAATAATTTTAATGCCCTATGTATCATATGTAGGCAATGAGACTACATCTGCCTGACCCACCTGTCGACAGTGATAACGAGGAAGAGAAGGAGAGACTTGTAGCTCAAAGCAGTCGCAACTCAATCCCCATGGATCCAGGTAATGTAACAAAATGTCCAACTTCATGTCCTGGTAGATTGTAGCAACTTTATTCCAGAGCTTTAGTGCAGATAGTCTACCAGAATATGTTTTATATATCTATGCATATAAAAAGCTGCAGTCTATTTCCTCATTGTCACTTACTTTTTCTTCTCCAGCCAAGACGGTTACTCCATCTCTACAATTCTCTGTATTAAATTTAGATGTTATCAATCTAGAACTAGTCCAGGTGTAAACCTAATTTCTCCTTACCTAATCCTGCACACTGTGGGTATGTTTGCATATAGAGACTTACATTTCATGCTAAGCTGTACTGTGGTTTACTTGGTTTTAGCTTAGGGGGGTCCGTGAACTCAGCCATGTGTTTTGTAAACTGTAATTTAGGATTGTTTACTACTGGAAAACAATTATTAGTTATGTTAATGTACATAGCTAATTGTAGTTTTCTAGTAGTAAAAATAAACTATGGCTTAATGTTATATGTGAAGCCACTATACAGCTTATATCACATCTACTTTTGTGGTGGCTAGCCATCGGTTAAAGCTTGTTTTGTTTGGAAACAAAACTACAGGGCATAATTGCCCAATGGAAGCCATAGCCATTAGCAGGATAAGGAAGGTTAATCTCTTTCCCTTGCTCTATGCCAGGTCAGTCACATTCTAGGATTGGATATCATTCTAAGCCCAACCACAATATAGTTTAATGTAAGCAAAGTGTCTATATTGTAGTAGCTATTATGCCATTTCATCTCCAGCTGTTCAGATTATCTTGTAGCAATTCTCTGATATTACTGTAACTAGCAGAGTAAATGGTATTTTCAGAACAGCAGCATGCCAAAACAAAACAAAAAGACAGTTTGTGTTGTGTAGCTATTTGATCTTCCCCTTTTATAAGATTTATGGACCAGAAATCATCTCTGGTCTTCCAATTCTTCATACTAGTTTACTTAATTAGACCAGTCTCTTTATGTTGAATGACAAAACTTTAAACTCAAGACCATTCCAATCAGGATGGTGTCTGGTCATTGAGCCACATATGTTTGATGCATAGTAAAACACAAAATTGTTTGCCTCACATCTTGGGTAAGTTGCTCCTTTATCCATTCAGATTAAAACTACATGAATATAGAAATCTCTGGGACTTGTCTTATGTTTGGGGTTTATTTCTCACCCTTTGCCTTCTTTTGATTTTAGAACATGTGGAGTTAGTGAAAAGGACTATGGCTGGAATCAAGCTCCCTACACTGAGCATCCCTGCATGGGCCAATGAGATATCAGATGAGCAGTGGCAGGATATGGTGCAACGAACACTGCAAGACAGACAAAGTCAGGATGGCTTTAAGCCAGAATGGAAATGAAGAACCATGGTGAACTCCCTGCCTACAGAGAAAACAGCTAAGCAAGAGCTATTCTATTTTAAGCTATCTTTCTCTAAACGTTTGGGTAGATATTTCATCTTTCTCCAGCAGTGAACCTGTCAATTCATCTGGTAAAACTGAAAATCAGTTGTCTGTAATACTTAGGTCATCACCAGTAAGCATTTATAACTATGAGGCTGTTTTCTTAATCTTGAGAAGAAAAAAAGCCTTTTGTGTTGTTTAGTCTCTTCTTTCTCCTCTCCTCTACTACCTATTGTTTCATATAACACACGGGCTAAAGAGCTAAACATGGCCATGAGGTGCAGTCCAGTGTATCATCTTTTCAAGAGATCCATTTTATTTAGTTCTGTACATACAGGGACATCTGTACAAAATCCAACACTGTCATACTATGTAATACTCTACTGAAATAAAGTACACCATATGTACATAATGAATTGTAAAGCAGCTTAATACTTGTGTCCAGGGAGTGAATGCATCACTTAGTTGCTTTTTCCCCCTCTTGGGAAGGGCTATATAAGACATGAAAGAGGCAGCTCCAACCCTGTTCATGTAAAAAGTAGGAAAGGTAAAAGCTGAAATAGGGACAAACGCAAGGTTTTTAAGTAGAGCTAGATTAAGGTAGAGCATAACTGGAAGTTGTGTAGCTGAGGTGCTCATTTGGCTTAAAGTGTGATTTTTTTTAACCTCTTTTACACACAGCTTCTTTGATATTTAGATACATAGGACACTCAAATGAATTGGCAGCAAACTAAATTTTAATATTAGGTCCCAAACACAAGTTCCCTGATCCCAAAGAAAGATTAGACAAAGCCTATATTTACATCTAAGTGTACAGCATATGATGCTCAATTACAGCCCTGCTTCACCTATGCAAAACTGTAACAGGCATAGAAGTGCTGTGTAGCATACATATGGGTAATGGAAGATAATTTCCTATGGTCCTTCTCATTTACTAAGCCCAACCTTGAGAGGGAATAGATAAGCAGACAATCACATTTTGGTGTTGAGGAGCTCCAAGTTTACTTTTGTTCCTCCCACAGCTAAACCACACTTTGAAAGACCAGTGGTTGAATGTGCAAGTTACTCAGTGAAGCCTCATGTTTGTTTGATCTGTCACTGAACTGTCAGGGGCATCTTGCAAATCAAATAAAGTCCCTGTTTAATTTTCTTCCATTTACTGCTTCAACTGGAAACTTGCAAGGGGATTAAAAGATGTCCTTATTAGTATGAGAAACTACAGCCAGACAGAGCATCTTGAACAACAAATATTGAAAGTATTTTGGCAGCAGACAGTGGAGGTTAGCATCATCATATATTCTAACATCAGTCTCAATTCTAAGTGCCTGTCCTCATGTAGCTAAAAAACTACCATGCACAAAATAAGGGTTGCCAAAGTAAAAATGCTCTGGGGGAGGGAAAGAAGCTTGTGAGAACTCCAGAAACAGTCCAGTGAAGACTAAACGTGCTCAGTGACCATGGAATGCTGATGGACTGTTAGTAGGGGGACAAAAATGGTGGAAAAATTAAGAATTCCACAGAGAAGAGTACTGAGGAGCAATATGTCAGACTGCAATTTGTTTGGTTTTGCATGATGGGTAAGCCCAGGCACTGCAATTTATTCAATAATTTGTGATTAAAATAATAGCTTAGCATGATATATGAACCCAGCCTGTGGCTTGAGTATCAGTATGGAAAATTGGCAAATGTCCATTTGTTTTTTAATTTCAGTTTTCTAAGAGTTAAAAAATGTCTCTGAAGGGGTGAAATGGGTGAATATTGAGATGAAATGTAACAAACTTCAAACAAATTATTCAAGATACAGTGGAAACAGAATGGTATAAGTAAGTAGACAAGACAAAATTACATCACATGAAGATTTAAGAAGAAGAAGATGAAATGGGGTGGGAAAAGGCTTGCAGTCCAATTCAAAATAATTACTTCTCTGATATTCCACTGCTTCTCACCAACGGAGGCCTTAACACAGCAGTAAAGGGATAAAACCAAAATCTGAAAAAAGTTCATTAGAAACAAATTTTCCAAAGCTAGAGCACAGGAACTTTAAGCATAGAATAGTAAAGGCTTTCCCTTCTGTGATTTCCATGATCCAAATTAAGTCAGCAACTTTTTAACTATGACAAGCTATCAAACAAATGTAACTATTACATTCAGGCTAGCCATACTTCAAAGGAATCTGTCAATACCCTAAATTTATGTATTCCCTAAAGTGAATTTTTGCTACATCTTGCACTTGAGTTTCCCGAATAGAGGAATGCTGGGGCTAGAACAGCTGGAACCCACACAAACACAGTGAAATCTAGTAAAACTATACTGGCTGGGAGATTATGGGAGTAGAAATTTAGCAATGGGGAGAGGGATTAACTGGAAAGGACTAGCTCAGTTGGTAAATGGAAACTGAAACTGTATTATTTAATTTTTCCTCTGGTTTTCAATATGCAAAATGCGTAAAGCTATTTATTCAGGATTTGCCAGAGCTTAAAAGCCAACAGCTGAAAGGAAGGTTGGCATTAGTAGAGAATGTGCTTAACAGCTACTCTCACTCCAGTTCTAACAAAGACAGACAGAAAGCAAGACCCAAGTGACACATTCATGCAGCAGCTGTACAATAGCTGCCAGGCACATAGATCAACTGCAAGCCTCTATTTGGAAGGTGAAAACTACCATGTCATTGAAAGCATTATCAAGATCACTGGATCTGGAATTATGCACAGCTGCTAACGCAAACACAATTTCAGGGATACCGGATGAAAATTATCACCCATACTCATAATGACCAAAAGCAGCTGAAGTTTCCATCATATTAGTTATTTATTCTAAGTGTTGGGGGGGGAGTAGATAACACATTATTCCCAAGGGAAAATGGCCTGTACTGACCTGTTTAGGCAATAGGACATAAAGTTTCTGTTATGCAGACCACACGGTTGTGTATGATAAGGGACATCAATCAAAGGCTCCGCATGACAAACAGATGAACTCTCAATGCTTTGGTCCTGGGACTGCAGAAGATTTTTTTTACAAAATCAGGAACTGGGATGTTCCCTGCAATGGAATGATACTCTCACAGGTTGCTAGGCTCCCATCACACGTGCACACAAAACACAGCCTTAAGAAGATTTAAAGCAGGAGTAAGTGAAAGTGTGGTGGGATATGAGGTACAATGTAAAATCAAATTGAACCTGAAAGATAAGAATGGAGTGGAGGACAGGCACAGGTCACCATGTTCATTCCCTAGCTATATGTTAGAACAAAGTGCATTTCTGTGTACCCTCCAGGGGCTCCCTAGCCCGTCAGAGTGCCTCCTGGCTTGAGGTGAGAAATTCTTCTGCTCTCTTGTGTGCTTCCAGAGCCTTTATGGTGTAGACATCCTGAGGAAGCTCTGATTTCCGACGCAGCAAAACCTTCTCCTTCTTCAGGTCTTTCAACATCTAAACACAAATACACAGTAAATTAAAGACAGTTTTTAGGATCTGTGAACTTCTCCCAAGGGATATCTTGGCCTCTTCTCTTTGGTACTATATATAGTTTACTAAATCATGGCCAAGTTGGGTTTAATTAGGGGCAGCTCCCAGGTCTCTAGAACACCTACTTGCCCACTGTACCCAATCTCTGTTTTCAGATGATGACACAGATGCCACTAAGTCTACAACTCGTAATACAAAAATCAATGTAGAAATTACTAAGCAAGCAGGGCAGGACAGTCTGTGATCTTCCACATGATGTTGTACTTTAACAGCTATCAACCCTGGCAGCAATTATCAGAGATGATGAGAACTTTGCTCTAGCAATATTTGGAAGGCCGCCAATTAAATTTCCCTAATCTAAGATATTTAGCTATTTCATTTCCTTTTAAGGCACCAACCTTCAAGTAATACCATCCAGGCACAATGTCACACAGACAATACAACTGAAGAAGTACCACAGTCAGAAATTAAATACTAACAAAGTGTGCAATAAGCTAATAATTAAAGAAAGTAAGCTGAGTCAATGATTACAGATCAATATACCCACACAGCAATGATAATGAAATTCAACATGAAAGAAACAATCTAGACAACATTCTATTTTACAAATGGGCAACACTGAAACTAAGAAGCGAGCAGAAATACCAGCCAGAGGATCTTGGTAGAGAAATTTAAATATAACCACATATTGTGCGGTTGTTGTTTTAACTTATCTTTTACAAAATGGGACCACCGAAGCTCCAAAACATATGTCACAGAAAAGAAAGGGAACTCTGCCTCTGACTCATATTATTAGAGATTGTCACTTCTGAACTCTACTTCTGTTTGCTTTCTCTGGCAACAGAGGACTTAATCTGTGGGCATGCAATTTTTTTAAAAAAATCTCCTGACAGGGAAGTGATGACACAAACTTTTTCAAAGAGCTTTCCAGAAAGAGCTTGGTGTTACAAATTCAGATAGGAGAAAAATAGCTGATCGTATGCTAGTTGAGGGGTGAAAGTAAAAGGAAACAGAGCAAGTACAGAAGGTAGGAGCAGAAGAGCAGCAAGTTATACTCCTCTGCCAGTATTAAGCTCAGTGGATCCCCCAACTTAGCCCATTCAGAAGCCAAATGTAATTATGAGTGACTTGGAATGCATCAACACTGGATTTGTGTCACTGATCTACATAATTCAAGGAGTGTCACCATTAGGGAAAATACTTTTGTTGAAATGTTAAATATGTAACTTGACTATCCCAAATGCTATAGGTTGATCTCCTTTCTGTCTCTTCTCTTGAACTATTGATTTTGTCCTTTCATGCAAAATGTAATTTAGTTACAAAGTAGTCTGTTTCCTAGTTCCTGATAGGTATTTATTTAATCCTAGGTGCATCTGAGTGAATGTTAGTACATTTCACAGTTACTGGAATATTTATATATTTCTTTCTAAAAAGCCATGTAAAACAAATAAAAACACTGTCAAAAAACCATTAAAAAGAATGCAGGTAGAGGAATGCACTGGAAAGGTTTTGTGTCTGGGTGTTTTGTTTTCGGGGCATCAGCTAGTCCACTGCTCAGAAACTCTGGGTTAGTTTATAAACCTGCAGCAGTCAGAAATACACCCAGTGTGATGTTTTGAAAACCATTGTCTCTTAATTTTAAGCTGTGGAAGCCTACAAATCCTTGCACACACTTCCTAGACCATTTGAGAATTAAGGGTTATTTTCCACCCATTCTGCCTTTTCACAAAGAAACCATCATTTATGACCAGCTTGCCTTTGAGCCAGGTAAGGGTCTGACAAAATTTGCTTGCTTGTTTAAGAGAAACTAGTTACCAGGAACTACATGCTACAGAAAGGCTCTGGATCAACCAGGTTTATATAATTAAGTCACCTGTACAGCCTCTGTTTCCATCGTTTTCTTCAGTAGCTGTATGTCCTCTGCAGTGGGGGTCTCCGTCTCCATGCAATAAACAGGAGGCAAAGGTGGGGGTGCGCAATACATGGGGTACTGCAGGAACACAGCACACAGAAAAATGGGAATGCAAGCTCAGCAACTCAAGTACTGGAACACCAAATGTTTACACGCATACACAGATCCCAAAAGAAAAAAAGGATATAACACTAATGTTTTCAGTTACAATTCATGGTCCCCTTTGTGAAATAGATTTGGGGATATAAAAGTTGCTGAAAACTTTCATCCCTATTTCACATATTCCCTTACAATAAAGGGGACTGATTATTTCTTGCATTGGTGTTAGAATCCCAATTAAACAAATAATGAAAAGTGAAATGCAGCATGTCTACAATATCAAAACATCAAAAAGATCCCGTAATAGCAAAAAACCTAACAACACAGTTGTTACTTTACATTTATGCAGCTGTTACCTATTCAAAATTTGGATTTTATTCAATATTCCAAGAGGCTTTGAATTAAAGGAATCAATGTGTGAATAAGTCTGAGTTCCTACAAGAGTTAACACCGGGAGGGTATATTATATATTCCATATAAAAGGGTACAATGATACAGGAGTAATACTATAAAATTATCCTTGATACCAATTTGTATCTCTTAAAATTAAGTTGGCATTATTATGAAAAACATTTTTAAAAAGGTCCATTTGAAATGTGGTACTTCATAGCTGTGTATTTTGAGCTGAGTTTTTCTTAAAATATGTTTTCCCTATAAAGATGGCTATTCTTGCCTTTCAGGTAATAGGAGAAATGTTATCTATATATTGCTCCAGTTCTGTGAGAGTCAAACATGGAGAAGCAGTAACTTGTAAAAACAATATAAATGAACTTATTTTCAGAAACTAGATAAGCAACAATATCTGCTGTTTTAGTAGCTCAATACTCTGGGGAAGAGCAACAGGTCAGTGATAAATCACATGCTATGTGTAGAAATGATTCCAGATTTTACCCCTAGAAACTCCACCTAAGAAATCTTACAGACCCTGTTGTTAGCATAAACAGTACTCAGCTAGATGGACTACAACAGCAGTTTCCCACATTTATTCCTTTGATGTAGCAACTTACTAAACTTATGAAGCACTCATCTAGTGCCAGACTGAATAAACAAAGCTAGGATTGGTACTTATCCAGAAAAACTTAGACCAAGTTTAGTTTGTGTTTTAGCAACTGTTCAGATGCATGCTCATCAGTTCCAAAACCCCATCAGATGAAGATGTGACCCCTATTACCACGATTTGGTCTTTACACTCCAATTTTATACACAGGAAACAGAAGCTGAGAGTAACACTTCTTGCACCACATGCTAAAGTCGTAGTCAGATTTAAACACAGATTTTAGTTCAGCATTTTCCCAAATAAAACACAAAGTTGTTTCCATATGGTAAGAGTATTTGGCCTTATTACCTAAAAAACAGGAATGTGAGGATATTTCCAAACCTTCCATCATGTACTGATCATAATAACTATTACCTGAGGATTCTGGCGAGCTAACTCCTCAATCTTGTGCCACATCTCTTCTCTTTCCTTCAATCTGAACCGCCCTCTGAAGATGGAAAGAAATTTACTTTTTTGTATTTAAATTTCTAGTCTATTCTTTCTCCAGAGCTCAGAGCACGTTACACCATTCTAAAAACAAAGCCTGAAAAAGCGTTAGAATATCCCACATTATACAGGATTCAAATCTAAGAACTTTCACTTCCTTTCCCTCCCCCACTCTTATTTTGTTCACAGATAGATGGCTTATAGATGGTTTATAGATAGATGGCTTAGAAAAAGGTAAAATCCTCCCCACATATCTCATAAAGTAACATCTTTTCCTACTTTGTTCTCTCATCCCAGGTTTCAGAGGGGCCACAATCACTCCCATCCTCCCTACAAAAGCAGTTCACTCATTTCACCCAATCCTATTAACTCAAATCTTCATCATGTGAGAGACATTAACCCCTGTCTCTCATCTCTGAGTTACTCTCTCAGGGGAACTTATCCCTGATTTCATAAAACCTCACAGATCAAATGCTCATATGGATATAGTAGTTTTATGGAACTGAGCCAGCCAAGGACCATGAAGCTATTAAATCCAGAAATTTAAATGTTTACTTGGAAGTAAAAATTAGCTCAAAAAACATATGCTACAATAAATATAATAAACTTTTAAACTGTTTTCAAACTGCTAATTGAAGACCGTTATATTTCTTATTCCCAAGAAGCATTCACAGATTTGCAGTTTATGCTTCTCAGTGTGGGCAGAATTCAGAAGAAGGGCTGCACAGAATTAATTGCTTGCTACCTACTGGTAACTATAATACTAGCATACATTTCCACTTGTGCAAAGTGAGGCACCTACTCTTTCCCTATCCCTCTTACACAAACCCACCCCCAAAAGTTGTCTCTGATGATTGAGGAACCCTGCCAAAACATGTGGAATATGAAGCAGCAATGAAAACTGTCACATTTTATGTATTTCAATGTGTACAAAGCCACTATAGGATACAATCCAGGTGGACTTGGAAGGCAGGTAATATTCAGTTTGACTTCATAAAATTTCCAGCCTGTTCTTATATGGAGATTGCTATGGTAATACTACAATATGATTTACACTGGCAAACAAATATTAGATTCATAGAATGTAAAGGTTCAAAGTAACCTTGGAGATCATCTAATCCAACCTCATCTCCAGTGAATGCATCTACTACCACACCATCCCCAACAGACGGTCATCCAGCTTTTGTTTAATACTTCCAATGGAGTCTACTGCCTCACAAGGCAGTCTGTTCCATTGTTTGAACAGCTCTTACCATTAAGGAATTTTGCTGATGTTCAACTGAAATCTGCTTCCTTAAAACTACTGTTTCTTACTTGACTTCTAGAAAACATTAAGGAAATCTACCCCATCCTCTGCATGGTAGCTCTTCAGATATTGGAGGGCAGCTACATTCTCATAAGTTTTTTCCTTCCAGACCTTTATCATCTTGCCTGTTGTCTTCTGGTCATGTTCCAATATGTCAATGTCCTTCCTAAAATGTGGTGTTCACACCTGGATGAAATATTCTAAATGTGGCTTTTGACCAACAAAAAACAAAGATTACTCCTGAATCCTGATATTGTTTTCTAAAGTCTTTGCTGTCCCCCTAGCTTTGTGTTGTTCACATTTGATCCAAGTCATTTATAAATACACTGAATAGTATAAAGCCCAGAAAAGAGCCTACTATATCCCACTCAACATCTACTTCCAGTTTGTCAAGATCCTGAGGTACACTCATTGAGTATGATCACTCAACCATCTTTGTATCCGTGCAATGAGAACGTAGTCCTGTCCACATTTGGCACATTATTTTCTCTACTAGTATTCCATGAGAAACCCTGAAGCCAAGATACACTATGTCCACTGCCTTCCTATAGTCAACTAAATTAGTCAATCTATTTAAAAAAGGTTTTTTTGGCATTACTTGTTTTTGGTAAATCCATGGTGGCTACAGCAAAACAATACCTTCTTTGCCAAATGCTCACAAACTGACTATTTATAAACTCTTCCAGAATTTTGCCTGGTACTAATGACAAGCTGATTGGTTAATAGATACCAGTGTCCTCTCTGCCCTTCTCCAATTCACTGGCACTATACTAATTCTCTATGATGTCTCAGACATCACAAAAAGGAGTTCCAAGATAACATCCACAAGCTCCTTTAAGACTCTCACATGGAATTTATCGGGTCCTGGAAACAAACTCATTCATGTTAGTCAGGTGCTCCCTAACTATCTCTTTACTTACCTTGGGTTGCCACTCCCTCCTTGTGTCAACTGTTCTGCTTAGGTCCATTTGAACACAGTTCCCCTTTGAGAAAAAGACCAAAGCAAAGGAGGAATTGAGGAGCTCTGCCCTCTCCCCATCATTTGTTACCATCCTGCCATCTTCTCCAAGCAGCGGGCCCACCCTTTCCTTTTTCTACTGACATAGCCAAAAAAGGCATATTGTTACTTTCAATTTGCAAACCTAACTTCCTTTTGTGCGTTAGCCTTTCTGTAGATATTAGCTACCTTTCCTGGTATGCTTTCTTGGTCCTTTGCCAGCCTTGCGAGGTAGTCCAGACAGGAAGCATGCTCAGATGAACTAATTCTACCTTATTGTAAGGTTACATTAACAGAATCTTGCAATTCAAAGTACATTTCTCCCCCCTTGCCTTTACAGCCCAAGAAACTAGGGAGAGTGCCTTCTTTTGCCATGCCCACATTCCTCCTGTGGGCTAAGCTGCCTCTTATCTGATTGTACCCTGGCTGTGGCTTTTCCTTGTCTCCCAAGGTCATTCTCACATATCTACAGCCTTACACCTATGTTCCATTTCCTATACCTGTCCCTTTTAACTTTTAGCTCAATCAAAAGCTCCCTATGCATCTGCATGTTTTCTCTCAATATAATGGCGTACAACCGTATTCTAGTATTTTCTTTTTGAGAAGTCCCAAAACCTCCCTTTGCCCTGAGGATTTCTGTCCATGGGATCCTGCCTAATAGATCTCCAAGAGTATTGAAATTGGCCTATGTTCCCACTTTCCTTTTCATGGCATTTTGAAACTAAGGTGATTGGTCACTTCCTTCCCACTGCTTTCACCTTTTCAACTAGGTTTTTTCTATTAGTTAGATCCCTCTATCTTTTCAACCTTCTGGAAAATGAAACTGTCAGCAAGACCACTATGAAAATATTGGGATCTCATAATCTTGGCTGGTTGGTTTTCCAAAAGACATCTGGGTAGTTTCTCATTATTACCTCCTCCCTGAAAGTAATATGGCTCAAAAGAAATTATCCACATCTTCTGTCTGGCTTGGTGATCTACAGCACATTCCCATGACTGCTGCTTTGTTGTTTTCTCTTCTTTGTATTCTTTAACGGTACCCCTAACCGGAGCCTCATGCGCAAATTTTTTGGATCTCTGCACATGTGTGCACTTCCTTCACATAATGTCACTTCTCCCCTCTTGCGTGGCTTATTTCTCTCAATCCATGTATTCCCCTCATAGCACTAGGTTTCAGTAATGCCTACTAAATAATTGCCTCCCTACGTTAACATTTCTAGTTCTTTCTGTTTGTTCCCCATACTCTGTGAATTTGTACAGAGACACTGGAAACTTTGGGTCATATACCTTAATCCATTCTTTCCTGTATTTATGCACTCATTATTGGATGCCTTCACAATGAGCATACACCTCTCAGTTCCATTCCCAATACTTGGTGTCAAAACTATTTCCGGGCTCTCCCCTTACTCCCGCACAGAATTCAGTTTAAAGACTTTTGGATCAGGTTTATAAGGTACCTTCCAAACACATTCTTCCTAGCTCTGAAGAAGCACAGCCCATCTCACAACATAAATACATCTATGATCAAAGAATCCAAACCATCCCTGTTGAAACCATCTCCATAGTCTGTTTCCAAAATTCTTCTCTTTGACAGGAAGGAGTGAAGAAAACATCACCTGTGGCCCCAGCTCCTTCATTGTCCTGCCTGTTCACAGTCCTTTGCAGGATCTGGCTGTGTTATTTTTCCCACAAAAAGAATCTTGAAAGCCTTTCCATACCATCCCAAATGTGAGCCCCAGGAAGGCTGCACACGTCTTTTGACAAACTATCTGACTGCTGTTTTGGTCCTTCTTAGCAAGGAGTTCCCAGTCTTCCTCCTCCCCCTCCCCACTTCTTCAAGGCAGAGACAAGAATCCTTCCCATTAAAGAGCCTATAAAGTCCTTTTCCTGTCTTTGTGACTTGCAGCAGCTGGTCTTCATCCATGGGTCCTGAAATGGCATCAACAAAGAGACTGTGGAATCTATACTGAAACTCCAAAAGAAAAACGTTCTTCCAGACAAGCTTGGTTTCCTTGAGGTACATTCCTCCATCTCTCTGTCCTCCTACAAGCACTTATTTTGTCTAATCCAATAACCTTTCCTCTTCCCTGATAACTGAAGGATGGACAGGTTCACTTCTAGCCTGTTCACCTTCTCTTCCATGAGGGCAATGAGCCTGCACACATGTGCAACAAATAAGGTACACTCCCTGCAGAATGTAGTTCTCTCCATCTCCCATATTCCTCAGATGAACAAAAGGAAAAAAAAACCTTGCCTCTGTGGAATCCTCTGCACAATGATCCATAAATAGCCCACATGCTACCCCTAGTTGCTAGTTTTCCAGAGGAAACATGGAGTTTTTTGGGTGCATTCCCTACCAAGTTCCCATTTGCTTGATCAGTAAGTTCACTCACTTCAGTTCCCTGAAGCTGCATCAACTAGCTCAGCAGAATGTTCCAATTGCACACAATGAGCAATCAGTACTCTCCTTAGCTCTGCCTGTCTTCTTTCCTAAACTGAACTTCCACATCAAACTCCTGTTTGTTCTCCCTACCTGCTCACTCAACAGGATTATAATCCTATTGGTTTTTCTCACTGGCTTTCCATACCATCCATAATTTACTAGCATTAACAGGCTCAGCTGAAGAAGCAATTTTTCTGTCCTTCCTGGAGAAATGGTCATAAAAGGCAATGCTGGGAAATGTCTGTTCCATTTCCATGACTTTCTGCCTGTGGCAGAAGTGGATAACCTTTTTTGAACAAAGGGTGATGTGTTAGGAGATGTGCTCCAGAATATAATATATAGTGGCAAAACTAAAACTAGGCTTGTTTTACTTAATTTTCAGTTACCTTTAAAGTGAAATTAAATATAGTAAATATGAATAGTCTCCTGTCATATTGCTAATAATTTTCTCTATATGTCACTGAATATGACATATTATATACAGTGGGGCAAAAAAGTATTTAGTCAGCCACCAATTGTGCAAGTTCTCCCACTTAAAAAGATGAGAGAGGCCTGTAATTTTCATCATAGGTATACCTCAACTATG